CTGTCCTCATCGGCAAATGTGATTTCCTCTGTGGCAGTCAGCCCTGAGTTTTGCTCAGAGTGAGCTTCTCCTTCTGTGTGTCAATGTGGTCTGGCTGTAGTCCTCAGGTTCTGGCCATTGATACCAACGTCACATTGCTTTCTGCCATGGGCTTCAGAGTAGCCTTGACGTAGCTGTGCAACCAGACTCCACTGCAGTGCCTTTGCCCAGAAGGCTGCGCAGGTCATTGCCTTTGCAGTCTGATGACATCTCTTTCCAGCACATCAGCCCAGTGCCCTTGATTGCTGAAGCCCTTACCCAGAGCACTGGGGTAGCGGCAGTCCCAAGGCTGTGTCACTGGCTCCCTGTCCTGCATTTCATACGAGAGACAGTTTATCATTCACTGGGCTGAAAAATGTCCAGAAAAAAAAAAATCGATAATATGAGCCACTGGATTCTATAATGAACAACTAATTTTCTAATTTTTACTAGACATGAGTGCTGCTGCTTAGGTTAAAAAAAAAAGTGCTTCGGATTTGTTAGAGAAGATCATTTTGTCCTTTATTCCTAAGACAAACAGCAGTAGGATACTAGAGTGGAAAAATTCCTCATAGCTGGAATATTTAAATTGTGTTTATTGTTCTCCTGGTGTAAGCTGCAGATTAGTCTACTTCAAACTGACAGTAAACCCGTAACACTCAAGCATTTGATGTATTTCCGGGTATGTTGAGGGCCTTTTGTAAATACTTGGTTTAAGAAATCATTCTATTGATGACAGAAGCTTACTCCTGCATTAAGATTCTTTCAATCTAAAAGTTAACATATAATATTCCTTGTGGTCTTAGAACTCTAAGGTGATTAGGATTAATTATTATCTCTGCACCATCTAATTTGTGACCTTACTTTTCTAACTATACACTAGATTGTAGTTTCTGAGTAAAATGCCGGCCCAATGTGGATGCTGGTTGCTATGATTGAGCGGCTATTGTATTACTATCTGAAATGAAATCTGCAAACTGTGATAATGTGTCCTCGACTCTCTACTTTAAGAGGCATAATTTAATTAGCAGCAGCAGTGGCTTCTCCACAGACAGAAGTTTAGAAAGGGAAAGGGAAAATGAAGCTGTTGCCAGGACCTTGAAAAGCAAGACATTTTACAAAATAGGTTCTGTAATTAGCTTGGTCATTACATCTCTTAAAAAGGGCAGCCTTCTCTAACTACCTATCGGCTCTCTGACTTTCTTTCAAATTGAGGCCTGAGACTTCCTTGGTTAAAAAAAAAAAATCATCATAAGGAAAAAAAAAAAGTAAGATACTCACTTTTCCATAAAAAGTAGAACCTAGTGTTTCAGCTAACATTTTTCCTGTCTCCAGTTCTGATGCAAAGGAGATGTTTGCATTTTAACTTGTTTTTGTTGTTGTGAGTTGTCTTTGAGTCAGTTCTGACTAGCAGCCTGAAGTGTTATTGGCCAGTTTAGATGTAGAGTCTGTTATTCCAAGATATTGTGTTTCTTTTTAGTGCTTTTTATCCACAACATACTATTTTCAATAAAAAACTAACGATTTTTGCCAGTTAACTAGGCAGCAATACTAAAGTAGTACTGATTAACCAATGCTTAATCTTACTTGATGTAAATTCATGTATTTTGGGACTTGATGTCAACAATTTTTTTTTATTGTGCTTTAGATGAAGGTTTACAGAGCAAATTAGTTTCTCATTAAACAATTAACACACATATTGTTTAGTGACATTGATTGCCAACCCCATGACATGTCAACACTCTTCCCTTCTCGACCTTGGGTTCCCCGTTCCCGTTCGTCCAGCTTTCCTGCCCACTTCTGTATTCTCGTTCTTGCCCCTAGTCTGGTGTGCCCATTTAGTCTCGTACACGTGGTTGAGCTCTG